CCTACTCTACACCTGGCATCCATGTACACCATGGGTGCTTCCACCAATGATAGTCCCCAGTTATTTGTCTGGTGAATCACATCCCATGAGTAGTGAAAAAAAACAAATTATTTCCTTAGTTTAGTGGAGAACAACTCCTGTGACAAATTCCACAAAAAACCGAGTACTGCAGGCTCCTTCTCCCCAACTTTCCTTGTGTTACAAGTAACCAGATCACAAAAATCCAGGCACTCTGTAGCGTTTGTCAAACCAATTCAATCACCCTGAGTACCTTAAGTCTCTGTACACCATCTGCTGTGACCCCAGCAGATGGTGTACAGCAAAAATTACATAGGCTAGGTTCAAGATCAAAACTGTTTAATTTCCATCTGGATTTGACAAACACTCAATGATCAAATATGTTGAATTTTCTAAACTCAGCATGTACACATGCACATTTTTAAAAGTATTGCTTGACACCACTGATGTCACCATCCCATAGGCCTAGCTTGGGCGTTAACAGATTCATGTGTTCTCTTATGACAATATTCCTCATGAGAGAAAGAGGCAGTGGTTGGAAACAGTGGAGGAGAAGGAAAGGAAGAAGAAAATGATTTTTCACAAGCTTGTAAAACTTAACATAAACCCAAGCAGCTTTAGCTCAGCTCACCACACGTGAGCCCCAAGAGCTAATTCCATGGCGGCTCTCGGCAAACTCCATGATGTCATCAGTGCGTTAGAGATGGCTCACCCCAATGCTGTATTTATCGCCGCAGGCGACTTTAATCAGTGCAATCTACAGACTGTGTTCCCCAAATATTTCCAACATTTGGACATTCCCACCCGGGACAAGAACACACTGGATCATGTTTACAGTAACATACGTGGTGCATACAGGGCTGCACCCCACCCCCACTTCGGACACTAGGACCACATTTCTTTGTTCCTGTATCCAGCTTACAGACAAAGACTGAAACAAACAAACCCTGTCACTAAACAACTGAAACTTTGGAACATGGAGACTGAGAAAACCTGTAGGACTGTTTTGCTCAGACAGACTGGGATGTGTTTAAAGCTGCAGCCACCTCAGAGGACTTTTTTGTCAGTGTACAGGACTATGCTGAATATGTGACTGGGTACATTAGTACCTGTATCGACAACATTGTGCCCACCATACAAGTCAGGAGGTTCCCCAACCATAAGCCCTGGATAAACAGTCAGGTACGCCACATGCTGCGTGCTCACTCTCATGCATTCAGTTCAAGCAATGAGATGGAGTATAAAGCTGCAAAGTATGGACTGAGGAAAGCCATCACAGCGGCCAAGAGGCAGTACAGAGAGAAGCAGAGTGGCTTCTATTCTACTGCTGACTCCGGACGGATGTGGCAACGCCTGCACATGGATCACCACCACCAGCATCATCAGCTCCACAGACAGCCTGCCGGATGACCTCAACACCTTCTACACCCGCTTTGAGACCTCCAGCCACAGCACAGAGAGAAGGCATATACACACCGAAACCACTCGACCCCCCTGCCCTCCATTAACTCTCATCAGACCAGGTTTGCAAAGCTCTGAGGAAGATCGATCCCTGCAAGGCACCAGGACCAGAAAACATCCCTGGGCGGTCTCTGAGAGCATGTGCCAACAAGCTGGCTGATGTTCTCACCTCCATCTTCAACCTTTCCCTCAGCCAGAGCATTGTTCCCTCCTGCTTTAAGACCACAACCATCGTCCCCCTTTCCCAAGAAGAGCCCAGTCACCTGTCTGAACAACTACAGGCCAGTGGCACTCACCCCAGTCATTATGAAATGTTTTGAGAGAGTGGTGCTGGCCCACATTCAGAGCAGTATACCGGACACCCTGGACCCCCTGCAGTATGCCTACCGACCCAACAGGGCCACCTCAGATGCCATCGTGGCTGCCCTTCTTTATTCCCTTTCTCACCTGGAAAATAGAGACTCCTACATCAGGATACTCTTCATTGACTACAGCTCCGCCTTCAATACAGTTATCCCCCACAAACTCACCCACAAACTGTCCACACTGAGTCGGCACCCCATCCTCTGTAACTGGATCCTGGACTTTCTGACTGGCAGGCCCCAGTCTGTCAGGATTGGCAACAGGACTTCAGCCAGCATCACTACAAACACTGGCACCCCACAGGGATGTGTCCTCAGTCCCATCCTCTACACCCTGTTCACGCACAACCGTGTCACCTTCTACAAGGATAACTGAGGAAAGCCATCACTGCGGCCAAGAGGGAGTACAGAGAGAAGCAGGGTGGCTTAAGTTCGCGGATGACACCGCAGTGATAGGACGCATCACTGGTGGGGACGAAGCAGCCTAAAGGAGGGAGGTGGCCGGTCTGGTGTCATGTTGCAAGGACAATAATCTCAGCCTCAACACGGACAAGATGAAGGAGATGATAGTGGACATGACGAAGGAGAGGAGCTCTCATTAGCCACTGTTCATCCGGGAGCTCGAAGTGGAGAGGGTGAGCAGCTTCAAATACCTGGGCGTCCACATCAGTGAGGACCTCACCTGGACACATAACACCACACAGCTGGTCAAGAAGGCCCAACAGCGGCTGTACTTCCTGAGGAGGCTGAGGAGGTTTGGCATGTTGCCTAGGATCCTTTGCACTATGTACCGCACGCGCCTGCAGAGAGAGAGTGGTAAAGACTGTTGAGAAGATCACCAGGACTCCACTGCCCTTTCTGCAGAGCATTTATCACCGCAGGGTGTGGAGGAGAGCTGCCTCCATCCTCCATGCCTCTGCCCAAACAGCTGGAGTTTATTACCAGGAAATACATCATGTAATGCCACCTGTACTGTTTATATTCTGTTTGCACATACACAATTGGACATTCACCGTTGACTATTGCACATACAGCTCCCATATAGCATACATTCTTTTATTATATTCATATATATTTTTATTATATCTCTTCATTTGCTGCTTTAAAGTACCTTAGATTTTATGTTACTTTTATCCATCTACTTTATATTTCACTTGTATGGTGTGGCATTCATGTGGACGGCAAAGTAAGAATTTCATTGTACAGGGAAACACGTTTCATAACTGTGCATATGATAATAAACACTTTGACTTTGATGTTGCAATTAACATGCAATAGCATGCGTCACTGGCTGACCTCAAACGCTGCGCTGTAATGTTAGGTAGCTAGGCATGTGGTTAGCAGTGGAAGTGTAAAGGTCAGTGGGGGCAATACACAGCAAGCATAGAGCTCAGTTTGCAGAGAGTGAGAAAAGCAATATTTCAGGAACTGATTTAGGTACTTTGGAAGAAGATTCCAAAGTAGAAGATTTCTGGCTCTGGTAGTACTGCATAGTTAATCTTCAGTTTAATATAGTCTCAAATATACTTTATTTTTTGGGTGTAGCCTCTCTCTCTCTGGACCTGTGTACTTGTACTTCATTTAGAATCCCTGCATTTTCCAAAATTACTTTGTACTGCTCTCAGAAAAAAAGGTCTGAACATGCTGTTTTAAATCAAATGTAAGCACATAAATATATGGTAGCTCTCTAGGCAGCTAGAGTGTTAACGATGGAGTCATGCTAATGACTGCATGCAGCTGCACCTTTTAATTAAACCACAGCATTTACGAAAGACATCCACTGTATGTTTGCGTTGGCTTTTGCTCTGTTAAAGCTATGGATCATTTGTATATCTCAGCCTTTTTTGTGATGATTTATCGCTATTAATGTTAGAGTAAGAGAGTGAGGCGAGAAAGAACGTCTTATTAAAACAGCCGATGTTTGCCATGTTTTCAGACATGACCTTGCATGTCCTTGCTTCAGCTACTGTATGCTTGACCAATTATGCATAGTATTCTAATAAGAAAAATAAACGGAACAGGGGAACAGAAAATTCAAGAGACACCACCCGAATCTGTTTTTACACTATTCAGATATTAAAGCATGCGTTTTCTTTCTCATTACATGCATGCTTTCTCAGGTTGTGAAATAATTAACTGGGAAATAATTTTTGCATTACTATGGGCAGGTCAGCAAAACAGACTGTGTGGAAAATTACTGCATACTGTATTAAAACAAGACATTATCTAAGAAGCAGTATCTTAAAAACCAATCTCCTTGCAGAATTTTTAGCATTAATGTTCGCTTTAAGTTGTTTTGACACACTGAGACTTGCTTACTCTCTTTAAGAAATATTTCAAGATTTTGGAAAATATGCTGCTTTGCTTTTTTGAGTTTTATGAGAAGAAAGATAATGCTCTTATAACTGTCAATTAAATATTCAGCTACATCCAGTAGTTCGTTAGCTTAGCATAAAGACTGTAAACAAAAACTGGCTTGCTTGGCTTCAGTAAGGTGGTATTTGTGTTGAAATGGTTGTCTCAGTAAAACTAAACTTCTGCCTAGAACTGTAGTAAAACAAGAAGCAGTTGTTCTTCTAAGAATCCCACTCCGCCTATATCGGTACTAAATACTGCTAGGCAGTTTTGACACAAGATTTAGGACTTTAGTTAATTAGTTCAGTAAAATATGATTTTGTTTTAATGCTGTTTTATATTCCTCATAGAAATATAAAACTTTAGTGCTAGTAGCTGTTTTGCAATGCAACACACTGACACACACACACACACCTCTATAGTTTGCTGTGTTCCAACACTAACCAGACCAGTATAAACTGTGGGCTGGAAGTACTGTTTCTTTGGCTCTCTTTTATCCTCTGCCAAGCCATGTCTCCAGACAGAGGTTTTATCAGCTCATAAAAACTTCAGCCATGATAAGAGGTATTGGTTGTTGCACAGCTGACAGATCGATAGGAGAGAAGAAAATTTCGCGCAAATCCACCAGGTTTGGTCACTGTGATGATTACAGTCCAGTTTAAATAATCATTCACTTTAAAGTTTCTAACTGCGAAGCTAAATTTAGGAAAGGAAGAAGCACATGAAAGTTTAAGTTGAAGTTTAAAAAAAAAAAGAATGTCTCTGCATCATCACTCTGCCTCTTTCTTCTTTTGTGTCCCTCAGACTGGCAAGGCACGATGATGATGAAGAGGAGGCAGCCCGTGAGAGGAGGCGCCGAGCACGCCAGGAGAGGCTAAGGAACAGGGAGAGTGAGGAGCCCAGTGGACAGCCAGACAGTCTGGTTATGACCAACAGCCACAGGTGACGGACATACAGCAGCACAAGAACTGTCTGTCACTGTGTCATCCTGCCCAGTTATGGGCTGTACTTCAACAATAAAGAATTTGTGCACGTCCTTTTATTGTTTTGAAAAAATGTCACTTAAGTTAGAATCATGGAATCAAAAATTGTTTCAAAAAATAGTTTTTTTCATTTTAAAATTTTGTGGTGGACCATTTTCAGCATATTCAAATGTCAGCTACAGCCAAATCTTGATCTTCGTTCATGGTCTAAATCTTTATATTTACTTTGAAAGGAAATTTGCATTGACATTTATTCTCTGATTTTAGCATTTTATTTTGTACTGAATTGACAGCCAAAATTTTTAGCGAATTTTTGGGAAATTTGTCTTTTCTGTCATCTTCCGTTGTCTTAGCTCTATTATTTACTTTTTTGTCTTGTCCTTGTCAAAATACCAGTCTTGTGCTCATTCATCAACACCCTGCTGCACATTAGTTACACTTATTTAAACCTGACATACACCTAAAATAAACATAAATGTGTTGCCACTAAACAACAGTTAAGAGGTTATGGAAGATGAAAAAATGTCACTTAAGTTAGAACCATGGAATCAAAAATTGGCTGAAGAGGAGGGTACTTCTGAGGGCGGGGAGGAAGCAGAAGAGGGTGTAGAAGAAGAGGAACAAAAACTGGAAGATGATGTGGTTTCCTGTGAGCAACGTCATCATAATTTTAACCAAAGATAATATGCATTCACTTTCTCACTATTCTTAATACCTGACATCTGTTGTTCTGACCTCAAGGCTTCCTCCTCATTACAAAAAGACCACACAGTAAAATGTTTGTATTGTCTCTGTCCTAGTGTGACAGAGACAGTGTCTGTGAGCAGCTCTTATGGAGGTGGTGGAGAAGATGAGGACCAGGTCCTGCTGGATCGCATGGCCAAACAAGAGGAGAGACGGCAGAGACGGATGAAGGAGGCGCTGGAGAGACAGAAGCAGCTGGACCCCAATATGACGGAGGACAATGACAGCGTTGCCACGGAGAAAAATAACGATGAAGAGGAGAGGCCCTCCTCCTGGCGTAGGGGTCGTTATCATGCTAATGAGGAAGAACAGGAGAAGACATCAATGACATCGCTCCTTCTCTCAAGGAGAGAGGAGAAGGAGCGAGAGGAGCCAAGTACGGCTGAAGAGGAAGCTACTCCTGAGGGCGGGGAGGAAGCAGAAGAGGGTGTAGAAGAAGAGGAACAAAAATTGGAAGTGGTGGAAGACAAACTAAGAAGGTCTTACCTGAGAGAAAAGGTGAGTTATCTCTTTATTTTTTCAGTTATTTTACCAATTTTAACAGATTATTTTAGCTGATGGACCCTGTAAAAATATTTGTACCTGTAAGAGCCTAAATTGCCAAGCAAAGTTTGCTCATTGACTTTGTAATGCACACCACAGAGCTGATCAATGATCTTTCAAAGAACTGCTATAATCCTTTTTCATAGGAACTTGGTGAAGGAGAAACACAGTCAATAGTCAGTGAGAGTTCAAATCAGGCCAAGTCAGCAAATTCTGAGGCTGAGGAAGATGCAGTAGCATCAGAGGAGGCTGAAGAGATTCCTGAGGCTAATAATGTAGATAAGTCAGAGAACAAGCCTATGTTACACAGAAGAGGACAAAGAGGTATCTGAGATACTGCACTCAGGGGAAAATGAGATATCATACACGTGGTAAGAATTTCAGTAGAGGTGTGATACACACTACAGAAAATCGGTCTGGGTAACTTCAGTGTCTTGATACATCTTAGATGAGATATGAAAATATAAAAAAAAAAAGATATATAAAAGGATCTGAATAAGGCTGTCTTGTTTACTTTGGGACTTGGTTGAAGCCAGATGCTGAAATTACCCAGACACCTCATGTTGTCACAGTGTGGTTGGCACCATTTACAAACTAGTGGTAAACTGAGCATGTGCTTTATGACTGCATGGTTACAGCCACGCAGAGAGTGTTTTATCATAGTTAACATGTTCCACAGTGGTCACTGTGTTTTTTCTGCATGTCTTGCATCTCAGCTATGAGAGCAGCAACATTTCACATTTCACCGATTCCATTCCAAAAACACTGTAGTAAAGAAACAATGTGATTCAATATAATCAATATCTTTACTGGAAGAAAACATGAGATTGCTGAGGCATCAAATCAGGTTTAGACCAGATAAGCATTTTATTTGTATTTATTTCTATTACTATAAAAACAAAAATAAGTAAAGCTTGAGCTGTTTGTGACTTTTCTATTAGACTGGAAAAACAGAATATAATAGTCAACGATGTGATGAATCGCAACCCCCCAACCTCATCAGCTGAGCTTTTTCATCTGGAGTAGTTCATCATGTTTTTCAAGTCCAAATGAACAGCTGAGCTGTGTCCTAACTGTTCAGATGAAAACTCAAGTGCATTCTATGGGTTGCAAGCCAGTGACTTCTGTGCTGGTTCCAAGCCTGGATAAATAGAGAGGGTTGCATCAGGAAGGGCACCCGGCGTAAAAACATGCCAAATTTAAACATGCGAATCATCAGTGGGAATTCCATACTGGATCGGTCGAGGCCCGGGTTAACAACAACCGCCACCAGTGCTGTTGACCTACAGGGTGCTGGTGGAAATTGGACTACTGTTGGAAGAAGAGGAGGCAGAAGGATCCGAGGAAATAGGAAAGGCAGGAGTATAGGAGAATAGGGACTCTTAATGTTGGCAATGACAGGGAAAGGTAGAGAGCTGGCGGACATGATGGAGAGAAGGAAGGTAGATATACTGTGTGTGCAGGAGACCAGGTGGAAGGGTAGCAAAGCGCGTAGCATTGGAGGGGGATACAAACTGTTTTATTATGGTGTGGACAGGAAGAGAAATGGGGTAGGAGTGATCCTGAAGGAGGAGCTC